ATTATTAGAGTGTGTCAAAAGCAAATTAATCTAATTTTGCCTTTCCGTAGCTCTGCCAAACAGTCAACCTTAATCAGGCATTGTGTTCAGACTTCCTTTTTAAGCCCCTGGCATGAGGTACGTCGGGTTTTTCTTAGGATTATGGTTCAAAATTAGGTTATGTCGCTCTTTCACCTGAATTAGTGCAGTTTGTTGGGATTTTACAGCTCTGCTGTGGTTAGTAGTCGGCCTCTTTGTGGTATAGATCAAAAGAGTAGACATGATTATGAAACGGATCACTTCACTCTAGGCTCTTAGGGTTTTTTTTTTTCCATGTGCTTTGATACATCAGAACCTGGTGGGCTTCTGTTATGGAGCCAAGTGTTTGGCAGCTCTGTGCTGGGGGCCGTCAGCGGACCCTCTGATTGTCCTCTGGCAAATGAGGGATAACTGCAGCAAGCATGTGACAGAGGAGAGGCAGCTGGTGGATGCAGGGATACGTGCTGGGTCACCTCCCCAAGCAAAAGCCCTCACATCTGTAACAATTAATGCTTCAGGCATTTAAAGAAATATCATAGTATGGGTCATAATTAGAAATGGAAATTGTAAAGAATTTAATCATTCTGGTTCTTTGTTTCATTTTGGAACTTTTGAAGAAGAAATATCTCCCTTGTTAAATCATAGGATTTTTTTTTTTTATAAATAAGTATTATTAACTAACTATACATTGAAGAACAGTTCCAAAGAAATAAACAAATGTGGTCATATCCACTAGGTTAAAATGTTTGGTAAGATTTTGTTTTTGAAAGAAGTCTCTTATGCTCAGCAAGGCTTTAATTGATCACAAATACAGTAAAATGGTAATATTGCAAAATATTACATTCTGCTTTAATATATTTTTAAATATTTATTTATGTGATGGTAAAGCTGAGTTATCAGCAACCATTTCTCCCGTCTTCAGTGTCACATGATCCTTCCGAAATCATTCTAATATAAACATTTTTGTAAAAACCATTTCATCACCTTGGAATTATAAGGTTCTATATGACATTTTTGTCAAAATTTAGTTATTCACGTATTCTTATTCTGTGACAACTTATTTACATTGTGTTTTTTTTTAAGTTGTGTACATTTTGAGACTTCGTTATTTAGAAAACAAAAAGATAAAGTATATGGAATGTAAAAACTTTGAAACTCTGTCTCAAAATCACTCAGAATGCAGATAGAACCATATATTTCCAAGGTGGCGAATTTTGTAGGATTATCCTTATTGAATGAAAGTATGAAATTCTTAAAAAAAAAAATTTTTTTTTTTTAAATCTTACTGAACCCAAACTTTTGAATGTTAGTGTATGGTTTCATTCATTTATTTTTATAACATGCTGTTGACTAAACTCAAGTAGTGTGTGTAATTGTATTTGTTTGATTCACTAAAACAAATGACTCATAAGAGTCATACCTCTCTAGTCACACTGAGGTGAATCAAAAGTCATATTGCACTGTTTGTTTTGATGTGGAATAAGAACTGGTCTCACTTCCTTTTCATAGATTCAATTAAAAACTTAAACCTTGTCAAAAGAAACAAATGTAAATATTTTAGATATTTAGAAATGTAAAAAGTTTAAGATATTTATGACCACAGAATTGCCCACCAAGCTGCATGGACAGTTTTGGAATATGGGATAATTTTTGTTTACTGTGGCATGTGTGCATGTACTGATTTCTGTTTTCTTCCTGTAATGGCCTAATCTGGCTCTACCTGCTGTGCTGTAGTCTTAATGTAAAAAAAAAAACGTATTTTCCATACGATCAGCAAATTTTGAGAGAACGTCAGCATTTTACATAATTTTTGTTTGCATGTTTCTCTTCACTTCCCCAAACAACCCTAATGCATGCATGCGTACAGCACAGTGTGAGTGCGTGAGAGTCTTTGGTTACGTGATCATGTGCAGCCACATTATGTCAGAGCTGGGCTGTGTGCTCTAGGCCGGGGGGCTCAACGCAGCGGGAGACACTGCTGTTTAATTTCAGCACTTCATCCCCCTCCGTAATGAAGCTTCCCTCACGCACATTTGCTCACACCCTGCCAGTGCTGCTGGCGGGTAATTGGGATGTGACCGAGCATGAATATCCCTTACGCCTGCCGCAGACCCGACCTCCCCGCGACCCTGCAGATAGCTCTTTGTCTTAATGGACATATCATCTTTTATTTAGATCTCCATTTGAAAGTAATTGTCAGCAGGAGGGGGTTATTGCAGTAGATGGAGACGAATAGACTGGTGTTTCACAGCAGACCTCTTTGATTGGCTGCAGTTTTTGGCTGGCTTTGATTATGTGAGTCGGAACAAAGGTGTGTGCTGTGCCAAACTGTTTTTGGAGGCTTATTAGAAGCACCACCCCAACCCCATCCTTCCTAATCAGCTGCCGTTGGAGTTCTGCTGTCTCTAAAACCATCAAAGATGTATGCGTGTATCTTTTGAATTGCAATGCTGACACGTATGTGTTTAGATGTGTGTTTTACAGTTTACATCATTAATTTTTTTTTCACCCAAGGCTTACCATCAAGATGAGTAACGCTCTCCAGGTGCAGTTAAAATCCAATGCACTGTGTCATATGGGAGTGTTGTCTGTAAGGCTTGGGTCTGTACACAGCAGCAGCAGGAATCATGGGAAATGACCTCAGAAAATCTTAGATTCAGCAGGGATGATCAAAGAGAGTTAAGCATTTGCTCATTGAGTTATCACGATTGATATATTTCCACCATCAGAGGTGGATGCTTTTTGATTTTAAAGTGACTTTACTTTCTGAACGCATGTTCCTGGTCTTTTTGAGCTATAAAAAGTATTCAACCACCTGTGGACTTCCATGTTTGTTGTTTTTACAGCAGTACATCACACTGAACTTTAAGAGGTAGTTCACCCCAAAATAAAAAATATATATAAATGTAAATAATTACATTTAAATCTAATACATGGTTATTAGGTCTTGTGGGTTTGGAATGCACTCATGTGGGTGAGTATATAATGACAGAATTTTCATTTTTGTGTAAACTATCATTTAATTTGACTTTGATCCAAAATAATTACAAGAATCCAAGATAACTAATTTGAGAAGTAGGCCTATTCACCGGTTTTAAACCATCACTAGTGCGCCCAGTTGGTTTTAGAAGACACATCAATAGTTAAATGGAGATAACTTGTGTGCAATGAAGAGCTTTCAATTGATTTTAGTATAAATGCGCCATCTGGAAGGTTCAATTCCGTGGCAGGACTTACACCATGAACATGAAAGCTCCAAACAACTCCACAAAGAAGTAATTAAAAGGCACAAAGCAGAAGATGGATACAAGAAGATTTCGAAGTCATTGAATATCCCTTGGAGTTCATTTACATCTTTAATTAAGAAATGGGGAAGAGTATAGCACAGCTGAGAAAACTTTCGATTGACAGGATATAGTAAGTAAATCGTAAAGTAAAATGGATTGTGAAAGTGTTTTCACGTTGACTTTAAAGAACCTGAGGTGCCCACTGCAACATTAGCATCATCAACTGCTTTAGGATGTTTGTCTTTTTAGCCTAACATTGAACAGACAGTACTGAACCACTTCCATACTGTAAACAGCGGTGTATTGCTCCACAGACAGACTCTTTGGTTGAAGTGATTAATTTCTCATGTATACAGGTCATCTCTCCGGCAGAGCATCTCATTCACAAGGGGCCCCATCAACAGACATTGCAAGGTTGCAATAAAAGCAGCAAACGTAGCACCGTGTACTCTAATAAATCTTCAGAGGTTAAACCCCACAGCACTAAAAACCTAGAAAGACCTTTTCATCATCCCCATAAAAGTGGCAATGTCACAGTGTTTGTGGTAAGCCACCGTCCAGGGTGCTGGAATTAGTGCTCCCCTGTAATCTAGTTTAACACCGCCTACAGACAGACATCCTGTATCTCATTTCATTGTTCCATCAGTTTTTGTTAAAGTTTCACTCCATCAGAGTGGATCACTGTATATTTAGAAGCTTTTATAAGTCCAGAACTCAAGTATCTCAGTGCCAAAAAATATGACGAGGTCTACAGATATGTGGGGATTGATACTATATTGGCAGCCATATTGGTATCAACTGATAAAGGTGACTCTTTAATGTTATCCATATAGGTAAAATGGGCTGATATATTTAAGCTGATAAATTAAAGCCAAATTGCAAATGCCTATTGCTCTATACAGATAAATTAATATGTCAGGTCTCACTGACATTTTTTTTCTTTATTTTTACGTTTTAGATTTTTTTTTCTTCATACTAGGCCTATACTGTGCTTTTCAAATAACTGTGGGGTAAAAAAGAGCCTTTTTCCTAATCGGTCCAAATGTAGATCAATATCTAAAATCAGCCAGAATGTAGGTTATCTGCTTCAAAATATAAATATAATTTTATTCTTAATTGTCTGTCAGTGTGTATATGTTTTAGAAGTCTTTCGCAATCTACTTTTTTTTAGCATCTTACACCTTGAGCACTACATTAAGGCACTGTGTCAGATTAAAATTTAGAATATTAAACCATGGTAAAATAAAACTACACATATATGGAAAGACATAATGGAAAAACATAAATGTAAATATTTTAAAGTTAAAGTTTTTAGTCACGCATTTGAGTTTTCATCATTAATCATTGCTGGCACTTCCCTAACAAAGACTTTATTTTACATTGTTCCTTGACTTAAGAATTTTTTTTTAACCCTGAAATGTATTTGTTTCTTTTCCTTATCAGTTTGCTATTACTTCCTGTTTTCACTAGTTATTCTCTTGCAGAGTTGCACGCACAGGGCCTCTCTACAACAGTCTATTTTGCCTTTCCAGGAATTGTCAATATATAGACAACTTCCTAGATCCTGGATATGTGATTTCCAGTCTTTTTTTAACTGTCAGATATGGAAGCTGTGTTTACGTGTTAGAATAATCGCTTTTCCTCTTCTCTCTTTCCTTTGACCCCCCCCCCTGCTCAATCTCTCCTTCCTCTCAGTGGATGGTCCAGGAGCCGCACAAAGGGGCCAACTTCTTCGGCTGCATTGGGAAGGATAAGTTTGGGAAGATCCTTAAGGAGAAGACAGAGGAGGCCCACGTGGATGCCCACTACTACGAGCAGAGCGAAGAGCCCACGGGGACCTGTGCTGCCTGCATCACTGGCGACAACAGGTCAGCCACCCCTTTCCTCTAGGGAGGGCCCTTATCGCTTCCTCAGGATAGCACCCCCCCTGCACACACACAGTGTGCATTCACACACCCCACCTCACTATGCGTTGGGACTCGCTGTTCCCTTGACGGCTGTTCTGCTCTTTTCCGCCAGAGCTCTTGATTTATTTATTTGCCGGGGTTAGATCAGCACAGAGGTATTTTGATACACCACATGACTTGGCCCTGAAGGGTGCTAGATTCCATGACTGAGCAGATATGTGAAACTGCTTGGGCCGAATTACGTGCTGCCTACACATTTGAACGGAGCAGATTGATGTGTTTATTTAAGTGTCACTTACAATTTCTCTGCTTGCGAAGAAAATGCTATGGTAAGCATGGAAGCTTATTGACTAATCTGTAATCGTATGAACTCTGAGGATTTGTTCAAATGAACACCAGGTTTTAAGTTCTGATGGACCGCTGACATATTTTTGGAGCTTGCCCAGATAATCTTAAAAAAAAAAAAAGTTATATTAGGGAAAAAAAATCTGGCACCATGGATATTAGGATTAGAAGTTGTAAGGAGTTTAATTATTTTGAATTTCTTTCAATGTTTGTGGTTCCTTAAGTTCATTAATGATTCTTTTAGCACTTTGTAAGAAATATTTAGTAAAAAATAAACTAAAATACTTACTTTTAAACAGAACAGATGTAACAAATCCGAAATAATGATTTTTTTATAATACATTTTTAATTATTTAATTCTTTATTAATTAATTATTAAATGTAGTAATTTAATTGTATTCAATTTAATTGTTTAAATAAGTTCCATATTTTTTGCAATTATAGTTATTATACTATTATTTATGTTTATTTATATTATATATGTTTACATTTTATAGTATATATATATATATATATCTCAGACATGACAAAATTAATATCTTTCAGTTCAGTTTGTTGAGTCTTGTAAATGAGGTTAATTCAGTAACCACACTGGCTGATTCATATTTTGATTCCCTAGAAAGAACTGGCTCAAAAGAGTCGATTTGTTAAAAAAATCAGACTGTATGTGCCCATATGTACCTGCATACCTAGACGCTACGCCACTGAATATAATAAAAAAACCATGGCAACAAATGGTTTTTTTTTTAAGTCAGTTTAAGAAGTTTAAGAAGTTGAAACAACTTTCACAGTCAATTTGATTCAACTTGACTCATGTTTAACCGTTGCTTCTTGTCATTGTAGGCTTAGGCTACTTTTTTCAATACATTTTAATGAATATACAAATTAATCAAATGAATTGTATTTATTTTTTATTACATATTGTTCATTCATTTATTTTTAACACCGCACCCCCAGCACCCCCATTTTTTCGTGGGCGACACTCCAGGGGGTGCTGCAGCACCCCCAGCACCCCTACTTCCCGCGGTAATGTGTATGTTTCGTGCTGTAAATTCACAACAGCACTGCTTAGTAGTAGTGCAGGAAACTGTATTTTGGAGCTTGACAATTATGGTCGCTATAAACTGTTTTTATGTGCTTAGGAGTTCTTCAAAGATGTTTTGGGATTCATTGAAAAACATACACACTTTAATTATGACATCATTTTCATTTCTGGGAGGACTATTCCTTTAATGAAAAAAGCATGCATCTGCAGGGGCACCGGTGTCAGTGATATCAGCTGAATAATAGATGCTCCTCTGAGGCAGTCGTGATCGTTCAGGTGGTGATCTGCATTTGTTTTGCATGTTGTCAGCCATGCTATTGCCTTTTAATCAGAGCTGCTAACAAAACTATTGTAAGTGTGTGTGTACGTGAGCAACCGCTCACAGGTGTGTCCTCTCTGAGCCAAGCTGTCAAATGAGAGGCATTGCAGATCATCCTGGTCACTTTATTGTGGATTTATGCATTTGCTGTAACAGAATTGATGTTGAGTGAGTGTTTATGAAAGCAAATACTAAGATAGTGTTCTCCAGGTATTATAGACCACCTCGGCGTACACATATAGTCATATAATATATGTTTAAAAGGTCCCATGTAACCAGTGAAGATATGAAATTCGAGAAGGAGATTTATGAGAGCTGGTCTCTTTGTTTAGACTGTCATAGAGTTAGTGTGAGCGGGCTATACATTAGAGACTGTCTGAAAGAGCAGCGGCTTGTAGAGCTGTCAGCCTTGGCCTTATGAGACTCTTCTCATTAGCACCTCACCTGTCAAAGCAGACCCTTTCATTACAGGAGACTCGCAGACCTGCAGCTCAAGGCCTGAAAGCGGTTTGATCAATATCTTCCTCGATACTTTCTCCCTCCAGCTACGCAGCGCACCTGTACTCAGCCGCCAGACGAGAAACGGTGTTAAAAGGCCACTGATTTCAGACCGGTTTGAGGGGGGAGGGAGAGGTCACGGGTCTACAGCCTGCAGCGAGAGGTCTGCCCTTCCTGTCTGTGCCGTAATGATAGCGTGGAGGAGAGTCCGACACAATCTGCCTGGTCAGATCAGCGTGACTCTGCCACTCGAAATGCTTATTATGCCTTAATGGATTTGATTTTGATTAACATGGTGACATCAAGCCGGAGGGTGTCAGATCAGCATCTTGCATGTTCCTCTGTGAAAATTACAATCAGATGCTTTTTTTTTGCGTCAAGAAGGCTTGATGTTTTATTAGATGTGGATACACATGGTAGAGATGAACAATATGTTGGTGCCACATTGGTTATCGGCTGACTTTTGTTTTTTGTTTTTTAAATGCATCACATTTTTTTCATATTTAGTGATCAATTCCATCTGAATATTTTTTCAGATTGAAAAAAAAAAAGATTTCTATTTTAAATAAATGCCGTTCTTTTTAACTTTATGCAAGAATCCTGAAAAAAAAGTATCACAGGTTCCAATAAAATATTATGTTTCCAACATTGATAGTAAGTCTGCATATGAGAATGATTTCTGAAGGATCATGTGACACTGAAGACTGGAGTAATGATGCTGAAAATTCAGCTTTGCATGACAGGAATAAATTATATTTTAAAGTATATTAAAAATAGAAAACTGTTGTTCTGTTTTTCTGTACTTTTGATCAAATAAATGCAGCCTTGATGAGCATAAGAAACTTAAACAAAAAAACATTAAAAATCTTACTGATCCCAAACTTTTGAACGGTGGTGTATATACACACACACACACCGAGAGAGAGAGATTAAAATCCCCTTTTTGCTGTCATCTACCACTCAAAGAAGATCTTAAAGACACTAATAATTTTAAGTGAAATCTTTAGTAAAGTTAAAAATGAATAATGAACATACACATTTCATAATATTGTGATGCTTAAATTATCTCTCTCTCTCTCTCTCTCTATTTTTCAGTTTTTCTTTTTTAATAAATCTGCAAAGATGTCAACAATTCTGTGTTTTTCTGTCAATATGGGGTGGTGTGTGTACATTAATGAGGAAAAAAAATTAACTTAAATGATTTTAACAAATGGCTGCAATATAACAAAGAGTGAAAAATTTAAGGGGGTCTGAATACTTTCCGTACCCACTGTATATATATATATATGGAAAAAGTTCAAACTTAAGCATTTTATGTAAAACTTAATCATGTTATGGCCGATAATAAAATTAAAATGATTATCAGCTTTTTGCACTGGCCAGAATTTTAATATCCCAATTACATAGTAAACAGATTTCCTCAGAGATATAGAAAAGGATGTATGATGTGGACATATTGCAGGCTGAACTTGAAACCTGCATCACCCACATGAGTAATGTTGCTCTGTGTCTTGATCATGTGCACTATGCGCTACAACACAGCTCCAACAGGCAAATCAAATTTGTAAGCCAGAAATAATATATATGTGTATATATAATAACATTTATATTCTCTTGAAGCCTTTTTAACAAGCATGCACCTGTTCATAAATTCTCTGTGTCTGCCTTTTCTATCAAACCTCTTCACTTTTCCTCCAGAAGCCATAACCGCAGGTCTATTGATTCTCATTTGTGGCCTGGCTGTGCATAGCAGTGTTTCTTCTCTAAGGCTAATGCTGCTTCATTGTAGCGACTGGCCTGTTGGGACCGCATCCTCTCAGTAACAAGTGAATAATGAGAGTGGTTGTTTTTCAAAGTGGAATTAGTTGTTTTTGTTGATACGAGGACCACCGGGAGGTTAATGGAGAAACAGCAGTCCCGGTGGACGTTTGCAGTTCTCCTGCATTATTGATTTGTTTGTTCATTTATTTATGGGAAAGGTCTTGTAAGGCATTTGTACTTAAATAAAAAGAAGAGAAATAAAGAAAAAAGTGTGCTGATATTTAATTCTGGCAGAGCTGACACTAAGCAGCTGTTTAGAAAACCATAGTCCATATGTTAGCCGTATTCCGCCTACAGCAATTTACAAAGGTACAGCAGCAGCACGTTTCACTCCGTGAAGGAGCTACATAATTTACACAATCACCCTGAAGATAAAGTCGGTTTCTCAACCGCATTATGTGGTTTGTTTCATATAAAGCCATTTAAGAGAAGGAAATGGGCACTGTTGTTATGAGAAATAGACAGTGCCTTTGGGTCGTATAATGATGATAATTTAAAGATACAATTTTTCTCCAAAACCTTCTGGAGAGAAATGCATTTGTGAAACATTTTATTTTATGTATTAAACTACTTTCTTTTTTTTTTTTTTTCTTGCTGGACCATTTGTCTTGCTGGATTTTTTTTTAGATACCCACCAGCATTTAACTGAACCCATGCTATTTATTTATTTCACACTACTACTCTTGAAATTTATAAAATACTGTACAATGTATAAAATAAAATACTTTAAAAAATTACAAATATTGAATAATTTAAATGTTTTTAATTTATTGCAATTCTGAAATTATATTTCCATAATGTAACACCATTATGTAATATTCAGGCACTTATTTTGCTGGAAAATATAATAGTTGACCCTAGTTTATACTCTGACAGTGACTGTAGTTTTGTGTTTTTGCTGTCTGTTAGGTCTCTTGTTGCGAATCTTGCAGCCGCTAATTGCTACAAGAAGGAGAAACACCTCGATCTGGAGGAGAACTGGAAACTTGTTGAGAAAGCCCAAGTTTACTACATCGCTGTAAGTAGAAATGCCTCTCTTGACACTTTTGCCTTTTTTGCAGTTTGTCACCTCATGATGCGGAGTGTTAAAATTGAGTTTTTCAAGTTGTTGGCAGTTTGCTTATTCTTCTCTGAGCCAAACTCAGAAAAATCAGATTGCAGAGGGTGCAGCTTTTTCCTCTTGGTGAAGGATGAGAGATTTTATTTGGATGTGTGTTTGCAATTGTGATCTAATGGTAGAAACACTGTCATCTAGAGTATGTAACTTCTGTTCCAAACCCTACACTGCCACGATGCATGAAATCCCGAAGGGCCGTAACTGGTACTGGAAGGTGGGGGATGGAGTCTGAAGCGCAGTCCTTAAAAAAATAAGTTTGTCTAAGCACTCGTCCGCTCCGCTAGTCAGCTGTGCTGGTTAATTCGGAGTACACACCACAAGAAGAGATAGATGCAAGAAGCCACTGCTCGTAATTACCGGTAATCAAGGTTGGTGTGAAACGAGCGACCCCATTACACTCCGACCTTATTGTTAATGAGCCATTGCAAATGTGATTGGAATGGCTCTCCATGTGGGTCTGTACCTGCTGTAAGCTCCATTCATTGAGGGAAAGTCTGGCATCCGCACCGGCTCGGACATCATTTGTTGAATACCTGTATTGTAGGACTGTGATTAACCACGAAGCAGGAGTCAGTCTTTGAAGCTCAATTTGGCAGCCATTGTAACGTGACACTCTAATCAAATCATTTTTGTCCCTGATTAAACGTTTTTCATCACGCTGCCGTTTGGTGAATGGGAAGCTCGAGGCTATGCATGAATATTGAGGAGCCGTTGCGTATTGACGGCCTTTGTGTTTTCAAACTTGGCTGAATAAGCCGATGTTCATGGGAAAGTGCCCTGATGGCTCTACCGCTTCATCGGCTTCTTGTCGCCGTCACTTCTTTTCAGCACGCTTGTTGCATAAGCGTGCAGACGCACAAGGCGCTCCACCGAACATCGAGATCCACATCAAGCTGTGCCCTTGGATGAATGGCTGTCCTCGATGGCAGAGAGAGAAAGCAAGCAAGCAAGCATATTCCAGTGTTTATTGAAAGTCTTGTCCCCGTTTTGTCAGCCCAGGCTTTTCGGTAGTGCTTGTTTGACAGCGATCCTTAGGGAGAGGTGATAGTTTCTGTTTTGGATGCCCTGCTCAGTTTGTCCGAGGCTCAAATTTCAGCTGAGATTGGAGTGCTGAGCGTCCCAGTGGGCTGGCTTGTTTTTCCTCCACAGGTCCAAACCGAGCTGTGAACGCAGCTTCTCCAGGTGCTCTGCAGGTCTCCGCTCCACAGACATGTTTAATGCATTTGGCCGAGCTGCACAGCCACTCCAGCCCTGCATTTTTCTTGTTCTCGCTCTCACACTTTCTGGCCAGAGGCGGGCCGGGGATGGTCGTGGAGTGTGAGAATTGATTATCCTGCCAGAGAAAGTTCATTACTGGAGTAGATCTTCTCCCACTTTAATGTTGGAGCGAACGTTCCTGAATTCTGCCCCTGGTCTAAGAGCGGTGTGCAGGTAGAGATGGACACGGTCCCTAAGGGAGCCGACTCGACCGCGACAGGTGCACCGACCGAGGTCTCGGCGGTTAAAGTCTCTATGAACTTCCTTTTTGTTCTACACGCACTTGTTTCTGAAGGGACTCCGGTGCTTGTTTTGGCTGTGCGTCAGATCTTGATTGTTTGAACTGAGAAACTGAAAACAAGCCGGTTGATCAAATAAACTGAGCACTCTTGTTCGTAGTCCTGCTGGTTATCTAGGAGTCTCTGTATTCAACTGACGCAGGATTATGTAAGCGATTTCCTCTTCCATATAACCATCACAGGCTGTGGCACCAGCCAGTCTGTCCTTGTTATACATCAAACCACATCTGTCTGTCTCTCTCTTCGTCTGTCTCGCTCTTTCTCTGCTGACCTTAAGTTTTTTTTGAGTATCTCTTTCTTTACTTGCACAAGGAGGCATAAGTTTTACCTTGTTATCTAATGAATATATTCTACACTAATTCATTAGGGCAGGGTAAAAATATAGATTTTCTGATTAATCGTGATCGTCATTTAAACAATTAATTTGATTTAACCATTAAATGTAGATATTGAGTCATAAAATCCTAACATTGATCTTTTACTCTATGTACAGCATGACCAGTGTAGTTTGATTCAAAAACAAAAGACTCAGACTATAAATGATTCTTTAGTGAATCAAAATCATGCTAGATCCATTTGAGTTGTTACTAATATCATTAAGTTGAATTTCAGCAATAGAATCTGTCTGTCTCTTGTTCTGTTTTCTTTCTACCATCTATCTATCATTGTATCATCTATCTATCATCTGTCTATCATCAAATATTAAAATATTCAATTACTGAATGTAGTTATGATGTTAATTGAGTAACTTGATGTTAATGTAGCTCTAATTGAATCAAATGGAGAATTGGTGAATCAGAATGGAAACAGGAAATGTATATTGATAACCGCCACTGTAATTCATCCACATTTTGGGTCTTCAGCATAAAAGCGATGAATTAAATCCCAGTTCATTTAAAATGCAAATATGTTGGATGGGTTTGTAGCGAGTTAGGCCGGATTTATCATTGGTGGCTATGCAAATATGTAATTGCCATGTAATTGGCAAGCGTGTGAGCCCATCTGTGAGATCACAATACAGTGGTGGTCAATCCTCAGCTCACCCCCTTAGAGAGCTCTTACACTACACTACACTGCTTCAGATCTGGTCCGATTCTCTCCTCCCTTGACATTATGGGATAGCACATTGTGACGGCACCCCGGTCCACTGCCAGAATTCTTATCTGTTATTTACGGAGTCATAGCCTTAGAATTGTACCGTATCATGGCATCAATCAGGACTGCTCCATTTTCCACCTAAGCACCTCTCGGTAACCAGCTAGATTTACTCGTTTAATGGTAAACAAGGACATATTGTGAATCGTAAGTGCAAAGGTCTGCTCTAGTCCTCGGCGGTGCATTTTGCTCAGATTTTTTTTTAAAGAGGGCTGAGTGGAGACCATCCAGCGCCATTTCCACTTAATGCACTGTGGCATGCTTCAGTGCAGTGATAAGGGAGGCCTCCTTGAGCGGTAATCTCCATTGACCTTGTGTTCAGAGTGGAAGACATCCCTGTGTGAACATGAAACCATGCAACTCGCTCACTTTAACCTCAGGGATTGATTTTAATTTACCCTGATGGTGTTCTATTGAGAGGATAGATATGCATTTCCTGAAGGAAATACCAGTGCTTGCAAGGCATAAGAATAATAGTGGCACAGGTTTAGGCGAAGTCTTAGGCTGTGGTTCTGCATAACTGAAATGCTAAATTATTGGCGGGTTCTTGTTTTATTGACATTCAGGGCACAACTTTTTATTAGTCAGCTGCTACTTAATCAACATCACTGCAAAGTAAAGGCAATTAAAAGTAATTATAAATATCTGCAAGGAGAGCACAACTAATCACATAATGATTCAGAATACAAATATGTGTGTGTATATATTACACGTTACATAATATATAGTAATATAATATATAAATATATAATAAAGACAACAATACCATATATACATATACATATACACATACAGTATACATATATATACACACACACACACACAGATATTTTTAATGGTGTTGTTTTTATTATTATTATATATATTACTATACATTATGTAATATATTTTTAAACGTACAAATTATATCATTGTTATTTTTAATAAAGTAATTGAAAATTATATATATGTATTTATATACTTTACATTGATATATTAGTACATATTACATATTTTATAGACACTATAAATATTATATTACTATTAGTTTTTATAATAAGTTTTTATAATTATCTATATAATTTATCTTAATAAATTGGTATATTTCATTACTATTTTCTAATTGTAGTATATATTACTTTTGTCATTATTTTGATTAAAACTAAAATATTATCTGTTTGTAGTATATATTACATTTGTCATTATTTTGATTAAAATAAAAATATTTTCAACAAGTAAGTTTTAAAATAAAAATTAAAACATAAATATGTAGTAATGAAATTTTTTTTTTTAACTCTCTAACAGTGTGAAAGCTGAAATTATCTATAAAAATGCAGTTTGGATTCACACTGTAATGTCGTTCAGGCCACATTAATTGCAAAAGTTATACTTTTACACTAACTATAACAAAACCCAAGCAGAGTGTTTGGGGAATATCAATACTGTGCCGCCTTGCAAGCTCTGTAAATATTAACAGCAATACTCTCGATTGTTGTTCCCCTCCCTCTTTCCTCAGTTTCATTCATCTGTAAATCAGATTAGCGTGAGGGAGTTTGTGTGGTAAAGCACTGATTAATGATTCCTGCTGCTGACTCCCAGCGTGCCCGCTACCGAAGGGTGCAATTGGACGAGAGGAGAGTTAATAGAGGCTCAGGCCGGGCCAGGCAGCGCGCCGCTCTGCCACGATTTATTCATATTTACATTGATAACTGCCAGTGTCATTATTTTTAACTAAATAATTTAAAGGGCATTTTCATTAATTGAAATTAAATCAAGCTGAAATTAAATAATGTAAGTATTACATGAAAAAACTGAGTATATGATAATGTTTTTTTTATTTTTTTATTTTTATTATTATGGGCCTACTGTACCTCCAAACCATCCTACTTGTCCTACTTGTCATAAACATAAAGCACAAATGTATTGTGTATTACACCTGAGTACTAACCTCAACGTGTCAGTCTTCTCTGCTCTGAGTGAACACAGAGTCTCTGAAGGCACAACTGTTCTCTTAAAGAGACAGGAGCATTTAAATGTGTGCACACAGTCACGTTATGGGGGAGGGAGAAAATAGAAACAGTGGGTGTGATGAAGTGTGAGAGAGATGAAGATAATTAAAAGCGGGGCCCGGCGGGCCTCTGAGGCCCCAGCTGCTGATGGTTCTAGAGCAGCCCAGGGACATAAAAGAGGAGCTCTTGACACTTGCAGGCGTTTGCCAGTTCCACTGAGTGGATGCTTCGTCCAGGGAGGATGTGGCTCTGCCGCGGAGGTAGCTGTGAAAGGAAGTGTCACCTGTAGAAAAAAAAAACACTCATTCTCTCTCTCTCGGTCTGTTTTTTCTCTAACACTATCTATAGCTCACTTTTCACATTGTGCATTTGCCTAGCGTGAGCTTTCAGACCTGTAAGTGCTATGGTGCACACAAAGCAGGTTGAGCTACGTCTAAAATACTGTCAGCAGAGCAGGAGAGAGAGGCCATTAACTGATACAGCAAGCAGTATGGCAGCCTACACCCTGAAGTGGCATTATTCTCTCTCTTTTTTTCTCCATCACCCTCTCCCTGTGCTTTTTTTTCCTCGTCCTTTTTTCACCAATCAGACATCAGAGTTCCCTGGCAACAAAATTGGGCACTGGGTTGGGGGTTGGTTGTATTTCATACTCATAATGACACCTCGTTCACAAGGGCTCTGCCGATGATTTCAGCGAGGTGACTCTCAATGCCATCCCTCCCACGTAGGTATCGCTGCTTTCGCTCACACACACACACACACACACGCTCGCACTCAGGCAGCCCTCCTGCTGACCTTGAGCTGAATCTGGCGTCAGCTGCCCGCCAAACTGTGTCCCCCACCCCACTCCACTCCACCCAGAAAGATCACACAATGCAAATCCAGCTAGTGAGGGAAGGAAAATGACTGGCAGCCGCCCCATCACTGCAGGCTGGTGACTATGCTGGATTGCTCCGATGAAATTTAATTAGTACTGCTTACTAGGGTTGTCACAATACCAGTATTTTAGTAGTCGATACTAGTAGCAGTAAAATTTCACTGTTCTCTTTGTTACCACAACAAGAAATGAATGTGCATAACCAAGCTTCATTTATTGAAGTTAAATATTATTAAAATTTTAACAAATAAAACTGAAAGTACTATTACATTACATTATATTCATTCTCCAAGCTGCTTGTCCGGAGTAGGCTCACAGAGATGCTGAAGAATAAACATATGCATAAACATTCTTAATTTATTAAAGATAAATATTGATATTAAAAAAAACAAATAACATGGTAAGTTATATGTAGCCTTATAAGTATTCTATTATTAGCTTATTTTATAGTTATTTTTTATTTTTTTTATTATTATAATATTTTATTTTTTCAAGTAATTATTCAAGTAAACAATCAATAATAATAAAAACGAAACCATTGCAGGTAAATTTTCATTACATTTTATCACTTGTTGGAAAATGTATTATTTATGCTTCAAATAAATAAATTAATAGATAGACAGATTTCTTTGCTTACATTTAATTATTATTAATTATTCAAGTAAACAAACAATAAAAAAACATTGCAGGTAACTTATTAATAATGTTCATTGTTTTCCCTCTTTGTCTATTAAATCTATTTTTCATCAAAAAATTATCTAATATAATATAATAAATCTAATCTAATATAATATCATTAATATAATATAATATGTAAACAAAGTTAGTCTGTCTTAAGTGAATATAAACAGGCAGGACATCGGATCCAATCAAAATATTAGTGCATTTTGACTAGAAAAATGCTCACGTTTTCTTCGTGTAAAATTTTGTCATTTACAAGGCTACATTCACTCTTTGTAAACCTTGTAAAGGAGATTTGTGAATGCACTTCATGTTGATTTGAATTAGTGTTTGATTGGAGGTGGTTGCCAGCCACGCCTCTGTCTCCATGTTGCTGGCCGTGGAGATCTGCCATACTGTATGCGTGAGTCATGCTGTCAGTCAAATGGCTTATTTAGCTTTTCTGTGGTCTGTGAATCTCATGCCTGTGGGGAGTGTGATACGTTTCTGATATCCTAACAAGTCAAATCAAGCCACCTTTATTTATATAGCACTTAATACAATACAGACAGCTTCAAAGCAGCTTCACCGTAATAAACAGCAAAATAACCGAATCAATGATGCAAACTTCATCAAATATGAGACAACACAGAGGAAGCATTTTGTGGCCCAGACTGCTGTATCAAGGGAGAGACCAAATTAGTCATAAACCCTTGCTAAATGAATCTATCAATTTCACCTAGTAATAATGTTGCACTTATAATCTGTTTACCATTTTATTATTTTTCGCTAATAGCAGTCAGTAATGGTGAGGTCCTACATGATGATAAGAGCCTAATTGTACAATTATACGCACGTTGCATCTTAACCATTAGCCTCGCTGCCCCCTTTTACCAATTTGTTTATGAATGCATAGCGCAAACACAACAGCAGCCAGTTAGGTATTATTTGCCATGTGTCTAATTTGCTGCGAATCAGGAAGGCATTTGTGCTGGTTGGGTATAGGAGGCTGTTTACCCGGCGGAGACATGTTTGCAGTATAATTGAAGCATCATTAGCTGACGTGAGCACACATGGGGTTGTGTGTTATAACGTGACGTTATGGCATCTCCTTTGACGACTTGTGATTGGATTTCAGTCACATTTCTTCACTGGATACATCTGTGTCAGTGTGTCTCTGTGCACTACCATTTAAAAAATTGGGTTTAGTACTTTAGAAATGAATACTTTTATTCAGCATGGATGCAATAAATCAATCAAAAGTGACAGTAAAGACATTTATATTATTACAAAAGATTCCTGTTTCTTGACCAAATCAGCATTTTAAAATGATTTCTGAAGGATCATGTAACACTGAAGACTAAAGTAGCATTGCCATCACTTTAAAATATATATGCTATCATTTTAAAATATATATTATATACACACTGTCGTTCAAAAGTTTGGGATCAGTAAGATTTTTTGTTTTTTAATGGAGTCTCTTCTGCTCATCAAGGCTGTATTTATTTGATCAAAAATACAGAAATATTATTGCAATTTCTAATATTGGCTTTCTATTTTGATATACTTTAAAAATCATTTATTTCGGTGACGCAGTGCTGAATTTTCATCAGACATTACTCCAGTCTTCAGTGTCACATAAATACTGTCCTTTTGACTTTTTATTCGTCAAAGAATCCTGAAAAAAGTATCACAGGTCCCAAAAAAATATTAAGCAGCACAACTGTTTCCAACATTGATTATAAATCAGCATATTAGAAGGATTTCTGAAGGATCATGTGACACTAAAGACGATGCTGAAAATTCAGCTTTGCTTCACAGGAATAAATTCTATTTTAAATTGCAATAATATTTCACAAAATTACATTTTTTTTCAGTATTTTTGATCAAATAAATGCAGCCTGAGCATAAGAAACTTCTTTAAAAAAAACATTAAAAAATCTTAATGATCTCAAACTTATTATTATAAACTTATAATAATAATAATAATAATAATATATGAATATTATTAATATCAATAATATATGTATTATTTTATATATTCAATTATATATTATTGATGTATTAGATACTGTATATTAAAATAGTAAACAATTAATTAATTAACAGTCAATTAAAATTGATAATATTTCCCATTTTACTGTATTTTTGATCAAATAAATGCAGCCTTATTTCAAAACTTTACTGACCAAATGCCCAAATGTGGTTTGAGTGATCAAATCACAAAACATTTTGTGACTTTCTGTTCTTTCGTTGTCCTCCAATTAAGCCAGTTTTTTTTTTTTTTTACTTTTCAATGAGCACCATAATTGACCCTTTCATGAATATTTTTTACAGGTGAGGCCGGCAGGTTTAGTACATTTGCGAGGAAATTTTCAGAAAAGCGAGTGCTCTCCAAAAGTTCCAGTAAATGCACATACTCAGAGGAACGGCACTCGAGCACAGTCGATGCCTCTAAAGTGTACACACACTCTCACGCTCATTGCTGTAAACCTCCTTCAAACACAAACCTTTCCTGTCGCTGAATAGGACTCGAAACGATCAAAGCCTCGTGGAGTCGCGTGTTAGATGAACGTTTGATCCGACGGAGTGCTCTCCACGGCCAATGGAAACCCCTCTTCCTGCCTGTGCCCCCGGGGAGGAAGCGACTGGCTGAGAGGTCAGGCTAATATTTAGAGATGATAAGTGGATACCGCTGGAGGTCTCTAGGCCTCTTGTTAAGGGGTAGTTACCCGGCTCTGAGAAACCCCTCCTTCACGCCACCTCAGACACGGGATAGCTGCTCTACCAGACACTCCAGCTGAAACATTCATGTGCCGCGGCCGTGAAATTGCCACGAGTAGATGAAGTGCGGAGACACCCGAGTTGCAGCTGATTGTTTTTTAATGCGCTGAGCATTGAGACTCGCGCATTACTACACAGATCCTAGTATGAGAAGGGGATGAGTTCTCCGATATGACAGGATCAATAAAATATCACAGAGTGTTAAATACTGTATCAAGTACATGCTGAGATCTAGCTGAATGAGGCAGGCGTTTCGAAACACGGTGAATGATTCAAACGCTAAATGACATTGAATATATCTCGTTCTATTGACCTC